ATGATCCCAAAAAGTGATGAATTTTTGTGTAATAAAGTCCAATTTTTGTCAAGGCTTTTTGACAGTCTCACAGAAAACTTATGTTTGTGAATGGGAAGAATAATATCAAAATGTCCATACTACCAAAAGCAATTTGCAAATTCAATGCAATTCCAATCAACATACCAACGATGTTCTCAGAGCTAGAAAAAATGATGCTAAAATTCATATAGAAACATGAGAGATGCTTAACATCTAAAGAAATATTATAAAGCAAAAAAAAAGCTGGAGACATCACACCATATTTTAAGACATATTACAGGGGTCAGCACTATGACAAAGCAGGTAAAGTCACCGTCTGCAGTGCCGGCATCTCATATGGGTGCCAGTATGTTTCCCAGCTGCTCCACTTCTTATACCCCTCTCTGGTATAGCCTGAGAAAAAAGTAGAAAATGGCCAAAGTCTTTGGGCCCCTGCACCTGCATAGAGACCTGGAAGAAGCTCCTGACACTTGGATTCAGATCAACAGAGCTCCGGCCATTGTGGCCATTTGGGGAGTAAACCAGTGGATGGAAGACCTCTCTCTCTCTCTGCCTCTACCTCTCTGTGACTCTGCCTTTCAAATAAATAAATAAACTGCAAAAAAAAAAAAACACAAAAGAAGAAGTGTTAGCACTGATATAATAACAGACACATAGTTCAATGGAAAAAACTAGGTAGCATAGAAATAAACCCAAATTTCTACCAGCAACTCATATTTAACAAAGGAACTAAAATGAACTGGAGAAAGAAGAATCTCTTTCACAAGTGGTGCAGAGGAACTTGATGATCCAAATGTAGAAGCCTGAAAATAGACTCCAACATCACTTACACTATGTGAAAGTGAACTCACAGTGAATGAAAAATCTAATCATAAGACCCAAACCCAAGTAAACATAGGGAAACTCTAAATATTGTCAACACACAATAGCTTTTGGGTAAGATTCCAATAGCAATAGTCACAAAAATAAAAACAGAGACATTTGAGTATATCCAACTAAGATACTTCTTCACAACAAAGTAAACATCAGAGTGTAGATACAATGAACAGATGGCAGGAAAAATTAAAACTCTGAATGTTTACAGATTTCCAGAACATTTACATGAATTGGAAAAACTCCAAAAATACAGTGAAGAAACAGGCAAGGATCTGAATAGACATTTCTCAGAAGAAATGTAAATGGTCAAAACATGTGAATATGCCCGATGTCACTAGCCATTATGTAAATATAAATCAGAACACCATATCAGTCTCCAACACCTGTGGGAGAATACAACACTCAGGTGTTTGTGTGTGCAGCAAGTGGGTTTAGAGGACCCTGTTCACCTCTGGAGAGCAGAGTCTACGGGGAGACAAAGAAACCTTACTGCTTTCCTAATGGGCTTATTAAGTTCTTGACCAGTGCCTGTTAGTCTTGCCACAAACTTTCTAGTCTCACTACTTTCCTTCTTCTTCCTCTTCTCTGTGACTTGTAAAATAGTATACATTCTGTATGCTGTGGATACTTTAGATTTATTTTATTCCTTCGGTCTCCTATGAAGTTCCTCCACAAAAGCACAGCCCTCAAAATATTCATTCATTTATGCAGTCTGCAGATTTCATGAGCTACTAAATTCCAAGTAGTATGTTAAAGGCAAGATCTAGGCCTAAGAGAAAAGTGGTCTGAATTCTGTGCCTAGAAGAGGATTTGGGACATAGTAGAATTTCGGTGAAGTGCTATGTGAATGACATGCACTCAGTAAATGAGTAATCTAAAGCATACACTGCATTCAAGCAACACAGCAGCCCTACTCACCTCAGGTAGAGCAATTGAGAGGAATAATGTGAACAAAAATAAGACATCAATAAGTTGAATAATAACAGAGAAAAAACAAAATGAGATAGATGCCAACATTACTGACCTATTTTTGAGGAATTAAATTGATAGAGGGGCTGGCATTGTGGCTAAGTGTGGTAAGCTGCAATCTGTGAGGCCAGCATATCATGTGAGTTCCACTTTGAGTTTAGGAATCTCCACTTCCAATTTAGCTCACTGCTAAACACTGGGAAACCAGCAGAAGATGGACGAAGGACTCAGGTCCTTGCCACTCATGTGGGAGACTTGGATGAAGCTCCTGACTCCAGCATGCCCCAGGCTCAACTGTTGAAACTCTCTGGGGTGTGAGCCAGCAGATGAAAGCTATCTCTGTCTTTCCCCCTCTCTCTAAATCCACTTTTCAAATAAACAAAGATTTAATAAACAAATTAACTGATTTCAAAATACACAAAAACATGAACAATACTATATCATCTTTATGCCAAAATGATAAAAAATAACAAATGCTAGAGAGCACATAGGAAAAGAAAACCTTCATGTATGGTGGGTGAAAACACAAATTAGTACAGATGTTATGGAGAACAGTATGGCCATTCCTTAAAAAGGATAAAAATTGGGCCGGCGCTATTGTGCAGCGCCTGAGGGGCCAGCATCCCATTTGGGTGCCAGTTCTAGTTCCAGCTGCTCTTCTTCCAATCCAGCTCTCTGCTATCTCCTGGGATAGCAGTAGAAGATGGCCCAAGTCCTTGGGCCCATGCACCCATGTGGGAGACCCAGAGGAAGCTCCTGTCTCCAGGCTTCAGAATGGCATAGCTCTGGCCTCTGTAGTCATCTGTAGAGTGAACCAGCTAATGGAGGACCTCTCTGTGTCCCTACCTCTATTGTAACTCTTTCAAATAAATAACAAAAATTTAAAATAAGATAAAAATTGACCTACCATTTGAGAGTTATCTTTCTCTTGGCTATATAGAATAAGGAAATTTTATTAGAAGGAAAGGAGAAGAATATATCAAAGATATGGCAATTTTCCCATAACACAGCCACTATAACACAGTTCACTGCAGCCAGGATTTGAAACCAATCTATCTATCCATCAATGAAAAATATGGACAGGGGAACTTCATTTAGATTCAAAAAAGAACAAAATATTATTAAATTAATTGAAATAAGCCAGAATCAGGAACACAAATGTCACCTGGTCCTTGTCACATGTGGAAGTGAAAGAAAATAATGGATCTGAACACAGAACTGTGATTCCTAGAGGCTGAGAAGGGAAGCAGCTAGGGATAGAGGGGGATTGGATAATAGGTAACAAAATACAAAGAGGCAGAAAGAACTTCTGGTGTCTCATAATATAATGAGATGACTACATTCAACTATATTAGGTTCTGTGTAAAGAAGTGAAGGAGAGGAGCTAGTAGTCTCAAATCACGGAGCAGAATTAGAAACTGTAGTTGCTTGGGGGCCAGCATTGTGGCACAGTGGGCTAACGCCCTGGCCTGAAGCACCAGCATCCCATGTGGGTACCAGTTCTAGTCCTGGCTGCTCCTCTTCTGATACAACTCTCTGCTATGGCCTGGGAAGCAGTAGATTTAGAAAACCTAAACACACACATAACCGGATGGAAATGATATCAGTAATAAAGACCCTCACTGCCAAGAAAACCCCAGGACTGGATGGCTTCACTGCTGAATTCTAACACACATTCAAAGCTCTAACTGTAATTCTTCTCAAGTTATTCAAAACAATTGAGAGAGAGGCGATTCTCCCAAATTCTTTCTATGAATCCAGCATCACCTTCATTCCTAAACCTGAAAAAAGTGCAACAAAGAAGTAATTATAGACCAATTTCCCTGATGAACATACATGCAAAGATCTGCAACAGAATTCTGGCCAATTGAATCCAACAATGCATCAGAAAGATCATCCACCCAGACCAAGTGGGATTTATCCTTGGTATGCAAGGATGGGACCAAAGGCTTTTCCACAGTCATTTCATTTATAAGCTTTCTCCATGGTGTGAAGGCTCTGATACTTTCTGAGGTTTGACTTCTCAGCAAATGTTTTTCCACAGTCATTGCATTCATAAGGTTTCCCCCCAGTACAAATTGTCTGATGCTTTGTGAGCTTTGACTTCTCAGCAAAGGCTTTTCCACAATGATTGTATTCATAAGGTTTCTCCCCTGTGTGACTTCTCTGATGCATTTTGAGTTGTGATTTCTGGCCAAAGCTTTTTCTGCAGGCATTGCATTCATAACACTTATCCCCTGTGTGAATTCTCTGATGATTTATGAGGTGTGGCTTCTGGCCAAAGGTTTTTCCACAGTCATTGCACTCATAATGCTTATCCCCTGTGTGAATTCTCTGATACTTTCTGAGGTTTGCCTTCTGGCAAAAGGCTTTTCCATAGTCATTGCATTCATAAGGCATATCCCCTGTGTGAATTCTCTGATGATTTATGAGGTGTGGGTTCTGGCCAAAGGCTTTTCTGCAGGCATTGCATTCATAATGCTTATCCTCTGTGTGAATTCTCTGATGCTTTCTGAGGTTTGAATTCTGGCGTAAGGTTTTTCCACAGTCATTGCATTCATAAGGTTTCTCCCCTGTGTGAATTCTCTGATGATTTATGAGGTTTGCTTCTGGCCAAAGGCTTTTCCGCAGTCATTGCATTCATAAGGCGTATCCCCTGTGTGAATTTTCTGATTTATGAGGTGTGGCATCTGGCAAGAGTTTTCCATAGTCATTGCTCTCATAAACGCTTATCCCCTGTGTGACTTCTCTGATGATTTATGAGGTTTGACTTCTGGCCCAAGGTTTTTCCACAGTCATTGCATTCATAAGGTTTCTCCCCTGTGTGACTTCTCTGATGATTTGTGAGTGTTGATTTCTGGCCAAAAGCTTTTCCACAATGATTACATTCATAAGGTTTCTCCCCTGTGTGAATTCTCTGATGATTTAGGAGGTTTGCCTTCTGGCCAAAGGATTTTCCACAGTCATTACATTCATAAGGTTTCTCACCTGTGTGAATTCTCTGATGATTTATGAGGTGTTTCTTCTGGCCAAAGAACTTCCCACAGTCATTACATTTATAAGATTTCAACCCTGTGTGAATTCTCTGATGTCTAATGAGATCTGACTTCTGGTGAGTGGTTTCTCCACAATCATTACACACATGAGGGTTTTCCACTTATATGAGTGCTGTGATGGAGGGTATGGCAGAATTTAATACTGAATGACTTCCCACAAGGTTTACATGCATAGGATTTCTTCCCTATATTTGGTCTATGATTCAGTCTAACATGTGATTGGTAAATAACAGGTTCCACAGGCCCAATATACTTATAAACGTTCTCTCTTTTGGGACTTTGTTGATGTATACTGAGGTTAGAATTCTTATGGAAATCTTGTACTATTTGAGTTGTCTTGCCAATAGTGGCAATTGACTTATTACAGGTTTCTACCATAAAAAGCTTCTCAGATTCACAGAATATATTCTTGCTTTTGAAGACTTTCCCTTGTCCAATTTGTTCAAGTGCCTGCTCCTTGATCTGAATATTGTGCTGTTGATTAAGAGGTTCACAGAACTGGAGAGTGTTCCCAGGTACCTTAGTAGCACAAAATTTCTCTCCAGCTTGTAGTTGATCAGGCCCACAATGGGGACACATATTGTGACATATACTGCATTCTTCAGGTTTTATTCCTGAATAGTTTCTCTTTTTGATACTCAGTTTTGGAATATGGCTTATACTTAAATTAAGTGTTTTTCTGAATTCAACTCCCTTGGGAGTTAATGTCTTATTATTTGTCATAACATCCTGATGCAGATTTTTCTCCAGACTTTTCTGGTTGGTCTTAATCAGTTCATCCAGTTTCATGGCAACTGAAGTGAGAAAAAAATGATGTCACTACATCAAATATAATTGTTTCTTCTAGCATACTCGTGTAAAAGGAATGAAGTTACTTGTATTTAAGAGGGATAAGATGTTAGGAAAAGTTCTGCATTTGTGCCTCCTCACACAGGGCACCAAAATGTTAGGAAAAGAGTTGTAGAATAGAGGAGAAAGTGTATGAATTTACAGCCAGACAGAATTTATTCAGAGAAAATTAATCCACAGAGGTGGGTGACCAACTGCCTGTACAAGATGGAGCATGAAGGCCCCAATTCCCAGGGGCCAGACCTTTTTGAGGAGGGCTAAGGCTGGGCATGAGGGTAGGGGGCAGCAGTGGAGGGGAATTCCAGGAACTGGGTGGGGGCCTTAGGAACCTGGAAAATAATGCAGGGTGGGGTATGAAGGCAATAGGCTGTGAGACCCAATTGAGTTTCAAGGGCAAGGAATACATTCCAAAGTTTATCTACTTTGGGCAATGAGGGAGAATGGCTCAGGCTTATATCCTCATTCCATCATAAGATTTTCAAAAAATGATTAGAAGATACATATTTATGAATATACAGGTTTTCTCCATTATACATTAATATATTAAATTGTATCCATAGATTTTCCAATGTTCATCCATGATCCTGTTTACTACCAGAATTTTTTCCAAGTATGATTGAATGGTTTTTGTGGTAAGATGTCTTAAGTCACTGCTTGGGATGCCTGTATCTCAAAACAGTGCCAGTTTAAGCCGAGGCTACTCTGCTTCCAATACAGCTCTGAGATAATAGATACTGGAAAGCAGCAGATAATGGTTCATGTGCTTGGGACCCTGTGATAGAGATGAGTAGGTGAAATTCCAGGCTTCTGGCTTCAGATTAGTCATAACTGTTGATAGTATTTGGGGAGAGAGTTAATAGAAAATCTATTCCTCACTGTTTCTCTCTCACTTTCTACTTTCACAAAAATGAATAAGACTTCACAGAATGGACTAATATTTAATAAATATATTCACCTGTAATCTAGAAACCAATTTTTCCCTGTCCATTTCTTCAGTTCATTTTTTAATGTATTTTTATTTCTTTATTTGTGAGAGTTAGACTGTGAGAGACAGAGACAAAGATCTTCCTTCCATTGGCTCACCCCTCAAATGGCAAATACATTTGGATCTATGCCAATCCAAATCCAGGAGCCAGGTGCTTCCTCCTTATCTCCATTGTAGGTGCAGGGGCCCAAGCATTTGGGCCATCCTCCACTGCCCTCCCGGGCCACAGCAGAGAGCTGGACTGGAAGAGGAGCAACCAGGACTAGAACCCGGGGCCCATATGGGATGCTGGTGCTGCAGGGGGAGGATTAACCATGTGAGCCACGGCGCCAGCCCCTTTTTCAATTCATTTTTAGAAAAATTGTGGGTTTTGTACTTCTGTGATATTTCAACCATAAATATGGGGAAGTTTTACTAGATCATTTCCTTGAAGGTAAAGAGTGAAATGTGTCTATACTCTAAGCAGGATCACATTCATGGGACAAGATTTGAATATGTGGTTGTCTTGTGTTCTGTCTTCCCAGGCAAACAGCATTTGTGGGATTTTTCTAATGAAAATCTCTGTTTTATCTGCACTATTATAGTTTCCCCATATTTCTAAGGAAACCTGACATCCTAATCTTCTAATAACTACAACAGTTACAGAAAGTTCCAATATACCACCTTGGCTATACATTCCCACCAGTTGAAATAATTTATTCCTGCAACCCAGAGTCTGCTCAATTATTGAAAATTGATTTCTAACTCATTGTGAAGACATCAGCCCTGGTTGCCTCCTCTTGTTTCTTTCTATAAACACTCCTCTGTGATAATTTGAGTTTCTGGAGGTTTGTTGATTTTCACAGAAAACTTCATTTCCTTTGCCTTTACCAGAGATACTGATCTCCATAGATACTGTAGAATGTCTGTGTCTGAATCACAGGACCAGCTGTCTTCAGGAGTAAGACTTGGGAAAAACTCGTGGAAAGAACACCAGTCAATATCTGTTGCACTGCTTCTGCTTTGGCCTCCCTGCCCGTTATGTACACACTGATATGGAAGGCTCTGATGTAGGCATTCTTCCCCCATCCATGGCTCTGCTCCTTGCTCCAACTTGAAGATCAAGTCAGGTTTGGTCCTGCAGTGCCCTACTAATGGAAACAATATAGACTTTGTGAAATCACTATCTTGGGTTAATGAAAGGAGTACAGCTTGGTCCAGGAGCTATGCAACAAATGTTCCAATGTGAAATCCTTCCCAGGTGATAGATATTCAGATTCTTCATGGACTCAAATTCTATACCTGTCCCTCATTCAACTTTATGAATAGTGCTCACTTAGTTGTCAAATAGCAAGAAAATGTTACCATTGGGCATGTGATGAGTGTCACTCACCCAGGGAGAACAGGCTGCTGTAGGTCTCCAGCATCACATCCCTGTACAGGATTTTCTGAGCTTGGTTCATGTTCTGCCATTCCTCCCAGGTAAAGTACACAGCCAGGTCTTCAAATGCTATCATCCCCTGTGACAGAACACTCCTGGTCAACATGTCAACTCTGTCACCTAACAAACAATGGCAGTTGTATATCTTCTACATGGGTATGGATGAAGAAGCAAGAATGCCATTTCATTTCAGATTTATGAGCATTTGGGCAGCCACACAGAAGCATTCCACAGGGGATCAAACCTATGGTATAAAGGCTGTGAAAATTGCCCAAGCTGGAGGGAAACAGGAATTTCTGTTCACAAAGGCCAGACTATGTCAAGGGCAATTGCACAGTAGGCTGAAAGGGGGACAAGAGTCACTCTGGAATGAGCAGTGTTCAGAAGAATGTAGAAGTATTCAGGAAAAAAGACAAGAAACCATCAGGGAAGTTATGAAGGGATTGAACAATGAAGAATTTCCAGAAAAACACTATACACAGTCAATGCAATTATGGCAGAGAAAAAAATTTTTAAAAGAGACAGTAGGCATTTAACTTAGTGTTTATGATGCCAGCTCAGATACTCTCTCTCTGCATCAAATTTCCAAAGTTGGATTTCAGTGCCAGCTCCAGTTTCCAGCTCCCAGCTAATGCAGACCAGGGGAAGCAATGGTGATGCCAACCAAGAGGGAGGCCTAGATTCCATTCCTGACTCTTGGCTTCAGTTGTGCCCCACCTCTGCTTGATATTTTTATTTAGGCAGTGAAGAAGTGCATGGGAGCTTTCTAGCTTTCTCTCACTCCATCAATTTCTTTCTCTATCAGGCTCATAAATATTTTAAGTAAGGGAGGAGATTCAAGAAAGAATAGAAAGTAGCTTTTGCTTTTTCTATAATTATTCTACTCATAAACATTTAAAGAACTGAAATAACATGATAACAAATTAAAGTAAAAGCTATGGAGTTATTTACCCAAGAACAGAACCTGAGAAATTCTGTACTATAATCTGCATTTGTGACTGAGGGAAATACAGAGAGCTTTGAGAACCTGCAGTAGGCACCAGCATTGTGGTACAGCAGGTAGATCTCCACCTGCAATTCAGGCATCCCATGTGGACAGACAATTTGAGTCCTTGGTGCTCCACTTCCAATTGAGTTCCCTGCTAAAGTGGCTGAAAGAGCAGTGAAAGATGGCCTGAGTATTTGGGCCAATTCCACAAATATGGGAGACCCAGATAGAGTTCCAGACTCCTGGCTTTGGCCTGGCCAACCATTGTGGCCATTTGTTGAATGAACCAGCAGATGGAAGATATCTCTTTCTCACTACCCATCTCTCCCTATCTCTATTACTCTGCCTTTCAAATAAGTTAATAAATAAACCTTGGGGCTGGCACTGTGGCACAGTGGGTTAATGCCCTGGCCTAAAGCACCAGCATCCCATATGGGCACCGTTTCAAGACCCAGCTGCTCTAATTTTGATCCAGCTCTCTGCTATGACCTGGGAAAGCAGTAGAAGAAGGCCCAAGGATTTGGGCCTTTGAAGCCGTGTGGGATACCCAGAAAATTCTCCTGGCTCCTGGCTTTAGATGGGTGCAGCCCGGCCAGTGCAGCCAATTGGAGAGTGAAATGTTGAATGAAAGATCTCTCCTCTGTCTCTTTCTCTCTGCCTCTCCTCTCTCTGTGTAACTCTTTTAAATAAATAAATAAATTGTTAAATACAATCTTAAAACGTGAAAGAACATGCAGTAGATTATTTTCCCCACAGTGTTCTTACTCTAGCTGGGAATCAAGTTCATCTCCTCAAACTATTAAGGACTGCATTACTCTAACAATTAAAAAAAATAAATGCAGCCAGCGCCGCGGCTCACTAGGCTAATCCTCCACCTTGTGGCGCTGGCACACTTGGTTCTAGTCCCAGTCAGGGTGCCAGATTCTGTCCCAGTTGCCCCTCTTCCAGGCCAGCTCTCTGCTGTGACCAGGGAGTGCAGTGGAGGATGGCCCAAGTCCTTGGGCCGTGCACCCCATGGGAGACCAGGATAAGTACCTGGTTCCTGCCATCAGATCAGCACAGTGTGCCAGCTGCAGTGCACCGGCCATGGTGGCCATTGGAGGGTGAACCAACGGCAAAGGAAGACCTTTCTCTCTGTCTCTCTCTCTCTCTCACTGTCCACTCTGCCTGTCAAAAAAAATAATAAATGTCACTGATTTGTGGTTTAGCCCTAGGTAAGTAATTCTCTTGCAGAATGCTAAGTGTTTATTTCCAGGGTGGAACTAAAACACTGCCCACTACATCATCTGTATAACACTAAAGAATGTGTTGGACATTATGACCCCAAAATTTAGAATATTATCCTTGACTTCAATTGAAATCATATAACAAATATATATTTTGCTATGGCAACAGAAAATGAGAGATGACATTGCCTTTTCTTGGATAAATGCAATGATTGATAGTCATGACAAATTCATCATACATCTTGTTTCTATATATTCCCTGAGAATAAAATTTACCTTCCTACATCCATTTTCATTAATAAATTATTATAAATCTAAAAACAAAA